AGGAACTAACACAGTGTAACTTCACACCTTAGCTCTTTTAGCTATTTCAGAAATAACTATTCTTTCCACTTACCATATTTCATCAGTTGCTTAGAACAAAGTATGCACAGACCACTTTGTGATGATCAGAGAAAGTGTAAGAGACCAACTACTCATTCTTACCTGTTTTTCTCATGAATTTTCAAGATTTCATGTGTCTGTTGCAGCAGCTGCTTTTCTAGCTTGTATGTTGACAGTGAATTTTCCAGTAGCTGAATTTCAAGTCTGGATGTTTGATTTAGCACCTTAAGGATAAATTAAAAACATTAATGTTTATATTGTCCTGGTTATGTTGTTATAGCAATGTAATGCAACCATTTCATTTTGATTTGATGATTAGTCAAACATTGTTTCTAAATCCTTTTTTAACCTCAACTGCTCAGCTGGTGCAAATGAACTCAATCAAGCTACACTGATATGTACCAGCTGATATTCTGGCACCCAGTTTACTGTAGAATAATATTAGGCCAGCAGAAAAAGGAAAAGTGACTGCCAAATAAGCTTCATTTCAATGGAAAGAACAAGAGGCATGCCTCAAACATGCATTCCTACAAAGCATGCTTAAACCAGAAGAGTGCAAGAGTACTTGGACTGAATCCAAATTGTTGCATCTGCTGTTTTGTAATAGAGCTCCTACTTTAGCTTTCCCCTGAGTTCTGTCTTTTCCAGTGTTGGCAGAACTCTGGTGTCTGCTTATGTTATCACTACTTGCACTCTTACACAGATTTTTTAAGATGAAGGCTGTGATCCTAAACATTGCTTTATCCAATTGTCTTTCACTTTAGACCACCATTTATGTATTAATAGCACAGGTTTTACTAAGTACATCAGACTGAAAGAAGCATTTTAACTAGATGAAAGAGAATAGATTCTAAGAGAAAGTGATTAAAAAGTGGTAATAACAGAATGCTTTCAAGAATTAATGCAGTAATATTAGTTAATGTTAGTTGATTTTGTTAGGATATTGTTATTCATTACATAGTCTGAAGGAGTGTAAGTAGCTTTTGTAGATATGTGTACACATGACAGCTGAGGTGCAATCACTTCTGGAACTAAAAATTATGCCTTTTTAATGGAACCTTTCAGACCTTTCTTGGAAGGACATTTATCAGTATTATCATAGGATTATATGGTAACATTTTTCTCACGCATGCTTGATAGGACTTTGTTATAGAACATAAAGTGAAGAGAATGGTTCTCAAACTCAATCCAGTGTCTTGTGTTTTTTCAAAATTGTTAACATTCAGAGACCAACTTGAGTTGTCCCTTTTTTTTTTAAGGGCACAGAGGTTGAAAAAGTTGGAAATTATTAATGTGCAGCTGTTATGTTGTTCAAGATAGGTGTATTTGGAAGTGCCAGGAGGCATCACCACAGTTTCAGAAGGACCTGGCAGAAACAGAAGGTATATTATGAACGGTGGCAAGGGATAAGAAGACAGGAAAGCACCGACAGATTTCCAAAGAGGTTACATCTGTGGAGCAGCCTACAAAATGTAAGTAGAGCTTCAGGTAGAGAAGAAAACCTAAAGGGAATCAGTGGGATTTTGGATGGATCAGGGATTGGGAAGGGTCAGTGAGACTTTAAGGAGGTGGAGGCTCTATCTTCAGTCCTTCAGACTCCTCCTTACTCTGGTATGAGTATTTCTTATTACAGGCATGAGATCCTGGCCTGTGTTTCTCCTCCTTGTATCCTACAGACCTTCACCACTCTGCCATGCAGCTGGCTCCTTCCATCATGGTCAAGAGCAGTCTCTCATCACTTTCTTGAGCCACCTGCACCACTCTTTTCTGATTGATGGCACAGCCAGGGACTACAGGGGCTTTTTAATACTGCTGGAAGAGGGGAGGTGGGAAATGCCATCACTGAGCTGATAGTCAGAGCAAGCACTGCAACAAGGAAGAGCCACTTACACTGATATCTTGAACATCCCTTAAATTCTTCAGTAATAGGTATAGAATGAGGAAGTTGTCTGCTCCTACATGCAATTGCCAGTGATACCTCTACCTTGAAGTGGTTTTTCAAAGGAAAAGGGAGACAGAGGCAAAGCATGTTTTGTCCCTTACCTGCTTAAAAGAGGAAACTGTGAATAAGTTCTCAACACTTATGCATAGGTGGGTCTTTAGGGATATAAGAAGAGTTCCTACACCTCCTTTTTCTTTAGTGAGCATATGATACTACGGACCATAGGTCTTCACCTCTTATGTTTCCATTTAGATATTCTGTTGATACTGATTTAAAGATTTTCCTGAACAATTTCATAAGTGAATACAATATGTTTTAGAAACTATGGTCATTTGAGATCACAACATTTGTAAGTGAATGTTGATCTGTTAACCAAGATGTAGGAAAAAAGGTGCAGAGAACCCATGTAAGATAACATATCTGTCTTTCATAGTTACTGCTGTTTGTCTGTGTACTGTAATGTGATTATGTAAAAACTTGGTAATGATATTGTTAACATGAGTAAGGACATTAGAAGAGAAAAATATGGTCTTTCAAGAAGTACAAATGCTACTAGAATAAACCAAATAAATGCAATACTTTAACTCTTCTGTTCTAAATGAACAGTGAATGCAGTGCAGCTGGTTATATACAACATACTCTGAAGATCAAGAGGAAGTCAGCAAAAATAAGAAAAACAAATATGCATCCTAAACTGATAAAATAATTCAAAAGGCAAAAAGTAGCACATAACTTTGCAATAAACCCAATATGAAATTGTACTTTGTGTTATGACAGTGATACTCTTGTCACTTCAATCACAACAGTGATTTTAGTGCTAGGAATCGTATGGTGTGGAGATGGCTCTTTAAATTTTATACAATTTTGCAGTAATAACAAATGCACAGTGTTTTATAAAGAAGCTGATGCTTGTCCATCTCCACAGTTTAAAAGATGCAGACATACACTACTTTTCAAATAGCTGGAAACATCTTGCAGAAAATAAACAAGCTTTCTTGTAATAGTAGAGAGGCAAACAAGAACGGAGATCAAAGGCTCTGCTTTAGCCTGAAACCCATTATTTGGCTTGACACTTGTATCATTCATAGTTGGTAGCTAGGCTGTTTATTTGAAGTCAAATGCTGATTTAGTTTCCTGGACAGTCCTGCCTGCCTTACACACACAGAGCTAAATATATTAACTGAATGAAGTCAAAAGAAAGACACATAACAAGGGTCAGTCATCAGTGCTCTTGGTACCAAGAAACAAAGTATGTGTCTCTTGGAGCCCTGTGTTGAAATCTTTTTTGTGGTAATGCATTAAAAAAGAAAGAGGATGGAAAAAGTTCTCTGCAATTTACAGCTTTTAGAAGACTACTCTGGAAACATACCTGGGTTTCAACATCCGTGAGTTTTCTGGTCTGCTCTGCTGTCTGGCTAAGGAGGCTGGTCCCTATCTCAAGCATGGTGGCGGTGTGGTTCTGCACGGCATTCTGCTGAAGCTGCACCATCTCTGATTTCATGTTTTCCACAATGTAGTTCTCAAGCTGTAAAAGAGAAAAGGTTGTAGCTGTGGTATTGTTACCTGTTTAGACATTCTGGTGACATAAGGGTGCATAGCCTGCATTCTTGCCAAAAGGGGAAATTTCAGCATTTTCAGGGGGAGCCCAAGTCTCAGTTGACCCTGTGACTGTTGGGGTAGGGATCTGACTATTTAGGTAGCCGCTTCCAGTCACAGAGTCCCAATGTTTTTCCAAATATCACGGCCTGCTGGCATAAGCTGGAAGAGACACTGCCTACCTCCATCTGTGTTGAGGTTGCAGTGAGTGTTTGTGGCAGAGATGTTATGGCAACTGCAAAATGATGCCCTCAAAGAACAAAACATGCCACAGGAAAACACCAGGTCCTACTTGTACTTCGTAACTTAGATGTAAATCCTTCCTGGAAGAGATCCTACCATAGCCTACCTCCCCTGGATTGTTCCTATCTCACAGTCATTCATCAATATGTTTTTTTACTGGGTTAGATCCCCACAAAGAGTTTCATAAATTCAGCAATGAACAGAGCTTAGTTTAGCTGTGGCCAAAAAATTGTAAAGGAATGGAGACACTGTCATGGCAATAAAAGAAGGAAGTTGTTAACCAAAAAACATAGAAAGCTGTTTTGCTCCTTTGCTTTTGTTCTCTTGATGTTGTTTGACTTGCGTTTGTGGTCTGCTGAACAGAATCTGAGTTAGGACCCTCTAAATAAACTGGGCATCCAAGAGAGAGGGTCCTTTTAGTTAACATAGGCAGAGTCACTCCCTTCTAGCTACCTAGGTCTTTGCCCTGCTACAGCAGACCAGAAATCCAGGACTAGTCTACAGTATGGTGAGATTGTTTCTTACTTATACAAGTATTGTTCTGGCATCTTGCTTGATGTGTCCCGTGAAGTACTAACATAAAGAAAGGTGGCCCAGAACATTGTTTTCAGTACCTTCCACTGAAATCAGCTGGAGTCCAACCAATTTACACCCCGTGAAGATTTGGTCCTCAGTTTCATTTTGTGGCTGATCATGTTTTTTATGGTTAGATGATTCCAGACTTAAGCAACTACTGTTTTACCTAATAATTTTAAGTACATTGGACCTGCTTCTGCAGCAGTAAGCATGTTTCATTGTGAAAGGTAAGCTGCACAACTAAATAGTAAGAACCAGATGGAGTTGATTTAAAGGCTGAAGAAAGGAGCAAGAGTAATATATACAGTGTAATTAGGACTGCTTTCATCTTGTCTATAAGCATACCTGTGCTTATGGGTAACTACTGTTAGACGTTCTGATGAGCCACATCAGCTGAGTTCGCAAAATATTTATTACAAATTTGATTGTTTATGTGCACCTCCTGCTAGCTTTATAAACTTTTTTACAGAGAAAGAACACTGCCACAATGTAAAATATTTTCTGCATAGACAGTTGTTGGTGTTTTGTTTGTTTAGCCCCAGTTTGGAGAAACATTAATACCCATGAAGGTCAAAACCAAAGTGTATGTCCTAGAGTTTCAGACAACAAAAACGTTTGAATTGCCAGGTAACCACTCTGGGCTGTAAACCTGCAGAGTGCTTTAAATGCTGGGGAAAATTTATTGTTGAGTACTGTGATGAGTATTAAAATGAGATATAACAGCCAAGGAAAACTGTGTATAGCAAAACAATGTCTGCAATGGATGTCACCATTTTCCACTCCCAGTGTAAGTTTACTGCTCTGTTTTAGTTTATTACTGTGAGATAAATGTTACAGATATTAAGCTAGTTCAAGGGAGATTTTACAGATCCATCACATTTCTACACCATGCTTTTAAGTTCAGAAGTATTTTGCCTGTATATCTCTTTCACATCAGATAATGTACTTTTAGCCACCCTTTGCTTCTTGTTTCCTAATCAGTAACTTTAGTTTTTTTCCAAACTATCTCTTGGTTCCAAATAATCCCTATGGAAGAGCCCCACAAACTGGATGGTTGTCTTTTTCCATATTCTGGTCCAGACACTGGAACATCTGAACAAGAATTTCAGATTTCTCCCACAGCTTTCACCTCCCAATGAAACACAGGGCTCTCCAGTCATGGTACTACCCATGATGGAGTACCAACACATACATTTCCTCACATCCAATGTCTTTTGTTTCCAGATAGGACCACAGCATGTCTGTGCTGTAGATGTACAGTGCTTGATTTGTTAGTTCACAGCTTTCTGAAACTGCTTTGCTGTACATGGGTCACATGGTGCATGTGTGTAATGGATGTCTGGGAAAACCCATGCAAAAATATGGTAGCTACACTTATTACACATCAGAAATTAGATATTTTCACACATCAATAAAAAGAAACACAAACAGGGATATAAATGTAAAAAGATAAAAAGACATTTATATTTCTGGCTAATTTTTTTGCCTTTTATTTTACCGACATTACAGAAAGGATTGCATTTGAAAGATCGAATTGTGTCTGTGTGGAGCTACAGCAGTTTTGACTAGCAAGAACACAGACATACGTTGAAGCATATTGGATAATTTGCACTTTTAATTATTGTAGTCTAACACACTCCCCATGGTATCCAGTCTTAGGCAATTGCCCTTGGTTACTCACCCCTAAAACAGCCTCTGGTTGAATCTGAGACTGACTCATTATAACAACAAAGCTGATTTTCCTGTTTCAGAATTACTTATTAAATGCTTTTGTAAATATTTGGCATTTGGTACACTACCACAAGTTTCTGTGAGCACATCTCAGGAGTATCAGGAGCTATTCACTCAGGCAAAGGAGGGTAGTACAAGGACTGAAATAATGTAGAAGTTCTGTTACATTAATTCCCCATCCTTCCTTCATCCACTTCTTTTAGTTTGCTCAGTAGATTTATTGGTTGCAATACTGGCCCTGCTAAAATCAATGGCAAAATTCCCATCGACTTCAATAGGCCAAGATTTCACCTATTATTTTTATTGCAGGAAAACAACATTTACCAGGTTCGTTATGGCCAAGCACTGAGTTTTATCTGAAGCCCTCTCTTCTTCAGAGGCATTGTATCAAGTGTACTGAACCTTAGACTGAGCTTTCTTTGTGGTTAGTTAAGAGGAATAGCATTTATTAACAGGTGATAAAAGGATCCTTGCAGGGTGGCCTCACAGAAAATGTGACATGCAGAAACCTATTCACAGAAGTAAATTCAAGAACATTTAGGGTTTTAAGTAATTTTTAGAACCCCTTCATCCTGTAATTAAGTTAAATTCAATCTGTCCAGAGGCTCTGCATTAAACAGTAAATATATAATACATAATGAAATACTCTTCAGTGAATCTGCTTTTTACATTTGGATTTTCAAATCCTTGTCTTACTGTTTCTTCTTATTTCAGTTACTTTTTATTGCAAAAATGAAACAGAATTCTTTTTTGCATTCTTTTCCCCCATCCCACCCCTCCAACTATGTGACTTTCCATAGTACATCGATGTCCTTGTTATTAATTTGACTGCATGTGCTTTCGGTAAGACTCATTACATTGCACAGGAGTCTTCAGTAATGCAGAATTACTGGTGGGGTGCATAACTACTTTATAACATTCTCAGAAATAAAACTGTCAGAAGGTTCAGTGTTATTGTTTAATAAACATTCCAGAGGATTATGCATTAAAAGTATCTAGCTTTTTCTGGACAATGTTTATTGAATAATCTTCATAGAAACCACCCAAACACTAATAGAACTATTAAAAAGGAAACTGTAGCTTAGGGTCTAAGTAAATGATGATGGTTTGTGGCAGATGGCTTATAAATAAAATAAGAGCTTTTGCTTTTACTTTGATCAAGTAATGTTGGTCCCATGTAATTATATGTTAAGGACTGCTTTGATATCCAGATGACATTAGGTTTTCATACAGTGCCTTAGAACAAGAATGCAAGTTAGAGTAACAATAGACTGCTCTCCCTCTCCTGCCATGTCTGGCACATATCTTTGGAATAATACAAAGACAATGCACCAGTGATATTTTGTAAGAACTTTTTCATAGTGTCTTGCTTTGCATACCTGAAGATGTACTAGCAATACTATATCACAACAACCAATGAAAGTTCAGTTCTTCTTTCTTTGTTTTTCTGTCTGAGGGAGAGTCATACCTCCCCACACTGCCTTGGGGAGTCAGATATAAAAGTGACATTTGGTGTAATTTGTATTTTATAAATACGCAAACAGCCTTAGTGGGAAGAGGTTGGAAGAAGCTGAAATATATAGAATATCATAGAATTACTTTGACTTTTGCACAGGCAGAAAGGGGTTAGGAAGGACTTTATCACCAAGAAAAGCAATTTTATTTGTGTATTGAAAAGGCCAACATTACATTTATTAAAGAAAAAAAAATTCTTCTATAACTATTTGTCAATGAGAAAAGATTGATGAAATGACAAATTTACAATGATGCAACCTTCTGGTATTACAGATCCAAGGAGTAGAGACCAACCAGAATATATCCTTCCACTGTTTCTGACTGTATGTGATTAGTGGGAATCAGGGAAAATGAACATGGATGGCACATGAAGACAATAAATTATGCTCAAATGTTAACACAGTAATCTGCACCTGATTTGGAACAACCTTACCTGGGCTTTAAGCATGTCAAGGAAAGCACACATCAGCCAGAAAAAAATCTGTAGATATACTATCAAATAGACAATGAAGATGCCTACTTTTCCAATTCTATCCTCAATTGGACTTAATAAGATTGCAATATAGATTGCACCAAAGCAGACAAGAAGTGATCCATTTGAGGAAGAAACTTCCTCAGATCTTGGGTAACTGATTACCTACATTAAGATGATACAGGATGCATACTGATAGTTGCAGTGAATTTATGAAATCAATCTTACTGAGCTAAAGTGAAAGCTTTACATGACCGGTACATAAACTGGACTCACAGAAAGGCCTGTTGGGATATGTAGTATATGAAGCTTTCACAAATAAATCATTGGTTATGAAATACACATAAATATTTGTGGGTTTCAATTCTAAAAGGAACTAGAGAAGTAATCCA